AGATTCTAGAAATATTACAATTTTACCCACAGCCATTACAGAAAATAAGATTTTTTTTCACCAAAAATACTACTTGTGAATATGATATTCAATAGCATTTTTAATTCCATTTCATGAATCTGCAAATTGTAATTGCTAAGTATTTTTCCTATAACATTAAGCTTAACTTCCTAAGAAATATGTCTCTTTCAACATTCTAGCTGTGGGGAAAATGGAATTTTCTGACCAGGATTTCCACCTGGCCTTAATGGTGCCCATTGTGTATATAATAAAAGCATGTTTGCACATTTATGGGATGTTTACCGGGGACAGAACCACTGGTCAGTCATGGGATTGTCAGCCCAGGGTAGGGGTGGCAAAGAAGCACCCTTCTGTTTCTGGTACATAATTCGCCAGGCCCCCTGCAGTCACCAGGGACACGCCCACAGAGTTCTTCCCAGGGTTGGGAGGAGGCTGAGCACTGAGAGAGAAAGCAGAGCAGCCAGGGTTTGGAGCAGGGAGTGGGGAGTGAGGTGGGAAGGACCTGGGAGCTTGGGAGCTGTGCAAGAGAGGGGGTCCTGAGCCATGCAGGAGACAGCGACCAGAGCAAGCGAGGAATCTGCGCCATGAGAATAAACCCTTTCATCCCTAAATTCTGAGCCCTTACCTTCCTTCCTCTCACTGAATTCATAGATTACTTGCCCCTGGATGGGAATCCCTTCCTTCTGGAGTTACCCTAGGAATGTTTGCTTATAAGCTAAGATGTTTACATGTAAACTAATGGTTCTCTATAAGTCCAAGAACAAGTTGGAAGATCCTTCTCTATGTGAGTCAGGATTTTCTGTTTGTTTGAAAGAGAATCATAATGCAAAGTAAGCTCAGCAGAACTGTGATCTTAGGAAGAATCTGGTCAGTTTGTAGAATAGAAGGAGGGATCTTAGGACCCAAGCACCTCTAGGAATCCCAGAAATGTACCTAGGTACCTTCCCATTCATCCCTTAGGCAGCATCTAGTGATCACCAGAAGGTCCCACCACCTCCAATTCCCTAACCTCCTCAGGCAATTCCACCCTCAGATTCCTTCTTTTCCAAAAGTCTTAAACTCCTCAGCTTTTCCTACATCAAATCCATGGACACTTCCCTACCTTGAACTTCCCTCCCCTCCCACCTAGAGTAATGGAATAATCTTCCTACCTTCCTCCTCCCTGAAAAAGTTCCTCCTGTGATAAATGGACATGCCTAGCAGAGATGCATAATTGGAAAAATAATCATTTAACTCCCTAGCTGTAGAGTGATAAAACAATTATTTAACCACATAGTTATTAAGTGACTATTCTGTGACAGCATTGTACTAGGGCCTAAGAATAAAACAGACAGAAAAAAACCACAGGAGTTCAATGGTTCAGAGGGAGAGAGGAACATTAATTGAATTATTACACAAGAAGATAATATTGGGGTCTGCTGCTTGTTCTCCAATATGATTTCCTTCATTTTCAGTGATGAATGAGTTTTCATCTGGGCAGAATAAATACTACATTTCCAAGACTCCCTTGCAGCTGGAAATTATCCCACTATAAAAAGAGAGGAAGGTTTGCCCTCTTCTTACCCCTCCCCTCTTCCTGCTTCAGGCCTTTGTAGTGATAGCTATCCAGGGTGGTGCACAGAAAGGCAATCCCCCTAGCATGGCTGAGTGACAGGACAGAACAAGCTGCATCCCTGGATGACCTTGTGGATCAAAGCTGCTCTGCCGGCCCTGGGACTGCCTTAAATTCCTCATTTCCCAATTCCTCCTGACTTAAATTCTAAAAAAAGAGCTTTATACAATAATACATCAAAGAGAAATAAGCTTCCCTCACATTTATACCACTGTTATTTGAAGTCTTTATTACACGTAACATACAAATATTAGTATATATTCTCAGACTGTAATAAATTCTATGAAACATGGAAACCAAGACTCTGATGTAGTTAGAAAGATCAAGAAGGTGTTAAAAGGATTCAAGAATAGGCCCCCCCAAAATGTGCCAATTTGGCTTGTGGACTATTTTGAGCTGAAGGCAGTCAAGACCCTTCAATCTCAAGAGAACCTTTTGCCTCTCCCTTAACTACCTAGAAAAATCTAAATGGGGGTCTTTCCAAAGTGTTATTACTAGAGATAAACTTTATCTGAGTGATTCATCTAAATGGCAGGGCAAACATCTAATTACCAAACATCTGCTCTTACTGCCCTTTGCGTTGCCCTCCACCCCTTTGAAGTTCCAGGCCCCTGTCCATTCCTTAGCGCAGCATGGCACATGTATCTCATTTTACCTTTCTGTTTTTGAACCTCTCATGTATGTAGGGTTCCCCTATGTATGAAATTAAATTTTATTTTCTCTGTTAATCTATCTCATGTTAATTTGATGCTTAGACCAGCAAGAACCTTTGAAGGGTGGAGGAAAATCTTTCCTCTCCAACAGGGTCATCCATTCAATCACTATAAAAAAAAATTAAAAATCACCCACTGCTTACGAAGAGCCAAGCACTGTTCTAGGTGTCAAGCATGCACAGTGAACAAAACAAAATTCTTGTTCTCAAAAAGCTTACATCTTAGTGCATAAAACAGGTAACCAATACATTAATAAATGGGTAAAAATATAAGTAGTGATAATGCTGAAGAGAAAAGAAAAGCAACATAAAAAAGAAAAAGAGAGAGACAGGGTGGTGTTTGAAACAGGGTGGTCAAGGAAGACCTCTCAGAGGTTGTGGTCCCATTTGGGCAGAGACCTAGATGAAGGGAGAGATGATTCTGGTTAAGATGTGATGGAACAGGCCATGAATAGACTGTTTGACAGGCAGATAGCTTGAAATGTGAGAGGAACAAGAGGGCCAGTGTGACTGAGCAGTATGAGCAGATCAACTTTCAATAATCTAGCAAATGAAGCATACTATATTTTGTTGGAGTAGCTCATTGTGACCAAAGTACTGCTACCTTGGAAATAATTGCTTAGAGAAGCAGAAAATACCATAAAGAAGAATATTTTGTATTGAATTTAAACTAATTAGAAATTATAAATGATTATAGACTGCTAAATCATGTTCGAATTCTGTCTTGGCATGTTGCCATTACTAAGTTTTACACATATTATTATGCCATAGGTTAAATGAAGTATATCATTCAACATGTACGTGCCTTGAGAATCAACCTTCTGTATATACTTCCTCATGATCGTTTCAGGTTTTAATTGTTTTGTAGTGAAAACAAGAAGCACATTCCTTCCAAATACTATGGAAGATAAGTCATCTATTTTCAAGAGATAGTATAAAGGCAACATGTAGGAGAAAACACATGCATAATGCAGTTCCAAAGGTTCTTGAACACTCAGCTTTCTTGGGATATCAAAGTCCCAGCTGAAGCGGTGGTAAAGCCAGAGTCTGTGGATGACAATGATTCCAGAGGACTTTGGAAGTAGGAACACTTGACTTTTCTCCTCTTTCTGCCCACCTATTCTCTCACTTCATCTCAACTCCCTGCTCCCAATAAATTACAGGAAATTAGAGAATTTCCAGATAACAAAAAAGAGCTTTAGCAGAATTCTCTAGTCACAAAATTAAGAATATTGCATGGATTTTTTGCATTAGATCTTTAATATAAATTTATACTAAAAGTATCTTCAAGAGCTCTCTATCAGATGTATTTCCTCAAATATTCTGCCCAGAGAAAAATCTGGGGAAATAGTAACTGCATACAATATTGCAGCCAATACTCTCCACCTTTCCCTTACCTAAAAGTAACTGAGGATCTATGGCAGACCCTTATGGAATACATGGGTAATTTAAACCTCCACTCATACCATAAAAGCGCTTCTGTAAGAAGCACAATTGTAAGAAGGAAAAAGTACTTAGTCTTTTAACAATATGAAAGTTTTCAGGAATAAAACTCTTGACACAAAAGAATATTTTCTCATATTGAAACATTAAATGGATTCAAATATTTTGGTGAATTATTTGGCCTTGAGGATTTAGTTTTAAATAAAAATGGCAGTATTTCCAATTCATTCTGGCAACAGGATCAGCCACCTCCAGTGCAGCTCCTTTCAACTTCTCACTAAAATACCCAGACAGAAAAAAGATAAACACACAAAACCACAAAGAAAACTATAACTGTCAGGCAATCTAACACTATTATATTGGAGGGATTGACAACAATTGCAATGCTAACAAGTCTAGGTTTAGAAAAACAATTCAGAATTCAGCAAATGACATACACTACCTTCAATTTATGGGAAAATAAAAAGACTACCTAAAAATTGTAAGAATAGAAATAGGTTAGCATAAGCATAGCCATCTTAAAGGCCTAGAAGCCATTTTCTGAGTATGTGACTTAAAAAAAAAAAAAAAATCTGGGCCTGGGTAAGGCCTTGAAAAACAAGTTAATCATGAGCACCGGGTGGTGGGCAGCTGTGACCCTTGGTCAGCTAACCTTGGTCAGTTAACCTTACATACCAAGCTTATTGTGCAGAACCTCCCTAACCATTGAGGAGTGGTCTTATCCTGCCCTTGCTTAACCCCAGGATGTATGTCTTGCAAGAATAATGTATAGCTGTGGAAAATTACTATGAGTTAAGTGCTTTGAAAATGCTATATAAACCCTTGGCTCTGAGTGCTCGGGGTCCTTGTTGAGACCCGCTGCGTCGGGCTGACTTGGACCCCAACTAGTTGGCTGAATAAAGACTTTGCTTGAATTTACATCTCTATGCCTGTGTAGTTTGTTCTCTGGGGAAGCCTCGGAAGCCTGGACCCTAACATTTGGGGGCTCGTCCGGGATACGAGCGGCTTCCCTGAGAACAAAGGACAGCTGGAGGCAAGGTCTAATTGTCCGGACGGGGCAGTGTAATTCGAGGGTCGCCCCCTCGTGTCTGCATAAATCCATTATAAAGCGGGAGTCGCCATCCCGTGTATGGTCTCGGGTTAGTGGTCCCGAGTGAGGAAGTCCGGGCTGGTAGTCCCGGCCCCCAGGTTAGCGACCCTGGGTAAAAGCCCAGGTAACCAATCCTGGCCCTAGGGTCCGAGTGACTCGGCCTTAGGAAGGCAAATCCGATCGGCAGAAAACTGGCGCCCGAGGAGGAAAAGATCGAGCTCGTCACCCTGCGGCAGTCCGAGTGGACGCCCTTCAGGAGAATTACGAGAGTTTTTGAAGACCCTGAAAGTGGTGAGTGTGGTGCGCACCAGAGTGAGAGAAGGACCGGTCCGAACGAGTGCGATCAGATGTGGTGTGTGTGTGCTTAGTGTTATCATTGACTGTTTTACTGTGTTTTGGTTTCGGTTTATATTTTTTTGCGCTTCTCATTTTAAGTTTCCTTGTTCTAAGGTTCTCCTGCTCTCTCCGTTCCTCCTTTCTGCCACTACATCATTCCCCGCGGGCACGGGTCGGGCAATTAAGAGCCATTAGGGCGCCCGCCGCTAGAAGACTCCCGTGACAGGATAAGGGGGTCACAGCCGCGAATCCCAGATAAATTCGCGTCCCCCGTGGAAGGAAAACTGTGCAACGACAGGCACTCGTTCACAAGCACATACAACAGTCATTTTGTTTGAAGTGGCATCTTCATCCTTCGCCTTTGTCTCCCTCATATTCTTTTTCCTTCTTTCTCACCATGAGACAGACTCAGACGACCCCCTAAGTGTGTAAATGAATATATCTTTCTACCTCCGGATGGTATTAATGAAATTGATTTAAAGACAAGCGCTTGTGAAAATTGGGTATTCTAAAACTTCCAGAAAACCTGATAAAAAGTGTTAAGCATTAATGCTAATTTGAGTTTGCCTGAGGCGGGCATGTCCTTGTAGTTATCAGCTGCCTAAATTTACCTGAGGTCATTTAAGTCATGTTATCTGCTAAATCTTTTAAAAATAAAATGCTTAAAGGCTTGGCTTTGTCTAATATTCAGTAAAGGTCTTGTAAGTAATCTAGAATAGTTGTTACGAATGAGTGAACTAAATGACTGAAGCAAGTGAACCTCTTTTTAATTGTGTGTTACAGTGTGTATACCTACCTACTGCCTGAGAATCTTTGTAGTAACCTAAAACCTTAAAGTTTTGCTAAGTTAAGAAGATATACTCTATGAGAGATTGTGCTGTAAAGCTCATGGTTACAGAAATTATAAAATGTGTTCATAAATTTGTCAATCTAAAGAATGTTAGTTTAACAGTTTACAATGGCCTGCTTCTCAGTGTTCACTGGAAATTAAAGTTTCTAATGGTTTTAAGTTCTAATTAAAACTACTTAAAGTAATAAAGAAAACATTTCTCTATGCTAAAAGATGTATGTTTTAATAAGAAAAAGTATAAAGAATGAAAACTCTTCTGCATGCTAAAGAATGTGTTTTGTGATAAAAGAAAGTAACTTTGTTCTAAAGTACAGCTATTTATTTAAAGAGAGAAAACAGCGTGGTGCCTTTTGTTGTGGAAGATCCGCTCAGCCTGTTGCTTTGGGGGGAGGGTCAGGATGTTTAGAGATAAAGTGAGATAAACCCAGTCAAGCCGCAGGCAAGCCCAGGCATAATTCTCACCGGCTTATGTGCTTGGGACCATGGGGCAAATGAAGAATAAATTACTATATTCTTACAGATATAGTCGTGCCTAGTGAAATTAAAGCAAGTGAGTCTTGATATCAAGTGCACAGCAAAATTAGAATCTCGTTTCCAGTTAAACAGTTTTCTTTAACTGTTAGTCTGCTCTTAATGTTGAAAGATCAAAGCAGTTTCTCATGCTTAAAGTCTCAGTGAGTTGCCAGAATATAAAAAAAAAAAAAAAATGAAATCGTAATATTAAAAAGACGAAAAGCTAAAGTTTGTTAACAACTGTATAACCTTTATTTGCCTTTGAAATATTTTGTTATTGAAAACGATTGCATGGCCTGAGAAATTGAATTATTTATTCCATATATTTTTATAAGTGGAAAAATCTCTAACCAACAAATGATTAAAGTTGTTACTGATTATTTGTTTTCTTAATTTATCCTCCTAAGCAGAATGGTAACAAAGCTTTTTTCAGCTGATTAAATGCACTTAGTTAACAAACCAAAATTTATTCTTAAAAATTAAACTAGAATCTAGACAAGATTATGTTTCTCCCAGAAAAACAAGTTTCACTGTAAAAGTTTAAATGGACAAACGTGTGACCACTTTTGAGAAAGGTTGTAATAGATTTTTTTGACAACCACCAGGTCTTCTTGTTTAATTTATATGCTGTATGTTTTAAAAAAACATGGGGGATGAAAGGAAAGGAGCGACACATAGCAGCAATTAACCGGAGAGTTCCGCTTTATTAGGGAAAGGTGCTGGGTTATATAGGAAGGGGCATGAATTGATTGAGGTGTCACTTCTACGGAGCTGGTGGCTGTTGGCTAGGTGCTGGGATTGGGAGGGGAGCGAGAGGTGATTGGGCTTCAGGTGGCGCCGGCGGAAACCAAGGACCCCCGAAGAGAAGCCGGAAGTTTGCCATCTTACTAGTAGTAGTCCTTCAGAGGACTCTTCATATTTTTTTAATGCAAATGATCTTAGAGCTTTTAATAGAATTTGCATAGCAGCTTATATCTACTATTAAAGAGTAAAACATTCTTGAAGCTTTCAGAGAAGACCTGTAGACTTAAGCACTTTCTCTGCTTTTTTTGTATCTGGTCTTGGACACTTATGCTAAGTTCAAAAAAAAGTGCTTTTACCTCTAGTTAACTCTGATATTTTCCAGAGGGCCCCTGGAACATGTCAGAAGAATTTTTTCTCATTAGAGAAAGTATTTGACTAATTTGGCTTATTTATCTGATATATATTTATTTATTTACCAGGAAAGCACTGTCAAAGAGAATGATGCTAAACTTTGTTACTAAATGTTTTGTATTACAGAAATATCAGAATTTCCTTATGTCAACTGTCTTACAGTAAGCTCTCATCAGATCTTTAACCATTGTCATTTGTAAGTCTTTTGTCATTTATAGTATTATCCCTAAACTGGTAAAGAACTAGATTTCAGCAGAACAGGTATTAGTTACATAAGATTACATAAACTAAAGAAAATGATTTTGTGTCTTTTTGTTTCAAATGTTGCTGATAAAGTGTTTTAACCTTGTTCTCTTAAACTGACAACAGTTTAGTAAATGACTATCTTTATGAGCAGAATTGAAACTTCCTTCTCTCTACCTGATCCCTCCAGAGTTTAAAAACTTTCAGTGACTGTTTTTGTATTCCATGGCAGTATGTTTATTTGCATGAGTTCAATAAGAATCTGCTTTCCTTGTGAGAAGACTACTTAAGAACACTGGTTATACTGCCAGGGCTTTGACTGGAATGTCATACCTGAGAGACATGTGCATGGACTCAGATGTGAACAACTTTAAGGAACTAAGATTGACTTTATAAAGCCAACAAAGCCCCTTGGAAGAACTGGCCTGGTACCTTGCTTACAGAGTTCCCAGCAGCCTTACCAGGTGAGTAAAGAAGGTCACTTCCTGGCAGGTGCAGAGACCTCGAGAAGAGAAGAATTCATCCAAATCTACAGGTACTGCAGGCAAAGCCTGATGGCAAGTCTAGCTTGGCTGTCTGGCCTCAAGAGGCCTTTAAAAGTTCAATCTGAAATTCCTTACAAAAAGTTCCAGCAAAGCATATTTAAAAGAGCCTGTGTAATCAATTGCTCTTCTTGCTGCACTTGTGCAAATGATCAAGCCAGCTGTTAATTATTTTCTTAACCTGGTTACTTCTAATAAAAATGAGGGTGATTTTAGAGAAAAGTATTGTTTCAATAATGGCAGCCTCCTTCCAGAATAGAAAATCCAACTCCAGATGTTGCTACATAACCTAATAACACAATTTGTTTTATCTTGCCTAGAAGCCACAAAACTGCAAATAGTAATAGAAATGAAACCCAGAATAGAAGCGCCAGCCTTCTGAGGCCCTCTCAACTGACCAGTGATGGAGACCTAGCTGCACCCTTTACTGCACCCCCTTCTCAGCACGAAGCAGCCAGAGCGGTCATCGCCCCTTTTCCCTAGCAGCAGCTAGAGTCCCTATCTGTAGAAGAGAGAATGAGACAAAGACCAAGACTCACTTTATCCTCTGTAAGTAGGCAAAGAACCTGCATTGAGAGAGTTCCTAAAACTTACACCTCCCTCTGCAACAGGACAGAAGTAATCAGCACCACCCCAGCTTATTCTAACAAGTAGTAGGCCCGCCAAACCGGAGTCACTCCATGTGTTACCTTTATCAAAGAACGCATTAGCACCATGCAAATCATAGTGTTGAGACAGAACTATCAGAGTGTTAACCAAACAGATGACCCCTAATTTCATGATTGAAATAGATACAAGAAGAGGGGAATGTAAGAATAGAAATAGGTTAGCATAAGCATAGCCATCTTAAAGGCCTAGAAGCCATTTTCTGAGTATGTGACTTAAAAAAAAAAAAAAAAACCTGGGCCTGGGTAAGGCCTTGAAAAACAAGTTAATCATGAGCACCGGGTGGTGGGCAGCTGTGACCCTTGGTCAGCTAACCTTGGTCAGTTAACCTTACATACCAAGCTTATTGTGCAGAACCTCCCTAACCATTGAGGAGTGGTCTTATCCTGCCCTTGCTTAACCCCAGGATGTATGTCTTGCAAGAATAATGTATAGCTGTGGAAAATTACTATGAGTTAAGTGCTTTGAAAATGCTATATAAACCCTTGGCTCTGAGTGCTCGGGGTCCTTGTTGAGACCAGCAGTGTCTGGCTGACGCTTGGACCCCAGCTAGCTGGCTGAATAAAGACTTTGCTTGAATTTACATCTCTATGCCTGTGTAGTTTGTTCTCTGGAGAAGCCTCCGAAGCCCGGACCCTAACATAAATATAGGCAGGAAAATATTTGTTCTAAACAATCTATGTTCCTGACCCAGAAAACTAGGGATTGTGTCAATCAGAAAATCATATAACTGTCCTTCTGTTACTTTCAGGTGCCAAGGGATATAAACTCATCAATGCCCTGCTTCCATTTTTTTCTATATTCAGAATGAGATTAAAAATCCCAGCAAATAGGCAGACCATAATATTAGAAGGGTATCTGGGGATTGATGGAAACTCTAAGAATTCTGATAATTATAACAAGGTGCCCAGCACCATAATTACAACATTTAGTAAAGGTCAGAAAGGAAGAAAATCTTTATTCACAAATTCCATTGCCATATAAATAGAAATCCTTACAGATTCTACAAAAAAAATTTTAAAAACACTCAATTAGTAAGTGAACTTTCCAATGTCACTGGACCCAAAAAAGAAAAATCAATTCTATTTTATAGACTATAATTAACAATTTAAAATATTATTTATATCATCTCCAAAACATAAATTTTAACAAAAGATGTGTAGAAACTCTACACTGAAAACTATACATTATTGAAAGAAAGTAAAGACCAAACAAATAGAAGTTATACCATGTTAATGGATTGAAAATATTCAATTTTATCAAGATATAAATTTTCCCTAAATTGATCTACAGATTCAATGCAATCTCAATCAAAATACTTTAAGGAGGAGTTAAAATTTCAAAACTGGCAAGCCAATGCTAAAACTTATGTGGAAGTGCAAAGAACCTAGAAGATACCCAGTCACATGAGAAAAAAAGAGTTTTATATTGTGTGCTTACATTGTATGCTTGTCATGAAACATTATTGTGAAAATAAGTAATATATATATTTGTGTGTTTTGTGCTTGTCATGCAGCATTATTGTGGAAATAGTTAACTATATCAAAATTCATAAGAACAAAAGGGTGTGGCCTAAAATATTCAGGGTTGCTTTTGGGGGCTGAGTGGAATAAGGCAAAACAGATGTCAAAGGAGAAAGTTGAATAATGAGAAAACCATTACAGGAAGCTGGAAAACGAAAAGGCATTTTATGTAGAGGCAAAAACATGTACTAAAATATTGCCTATAATAATTTGGAAGACAGAAAATGTACCTAATTCATTCACAACCTTGAGCAAGGAGGTGTCTAGGTAAAATGCTAAAAGCATCAGCTGGCTCATTCTAACTGCACATGACAGAGCACTACAAGAAAGAATATACCTCTGATAAAACCAGACACTATACAAACATAATGAGGAAAATTTTGAAAGCTTAAAAATTCTAGCACCTGCTGGGTTGGAAAGTAAAACTGTGTAATCTATAGTCTATATCTCTATGTATACCCATGATCTCTGTCTATTGTTTGTTCCTTTCTCATTATTTTCCTTTATTTTATGTACGTAGCATGCCCTTTGTACAGTGTGGCTTAGATTCCCACAGTATATATAGCCAAACTTCAAGCCGTTAAATTAAGAGCTGAGGTCTACTCACTGGTTTGAAAAAGTCTGACAACAAACTGAGTGAAAGAAATGAGGAATGTCCAAAAAATCCCATTTTTGTTAAAATATATTTCAGAGAAAACTTTACCAGATGACACATCATAATATTTCAATGGTTACCTCTGAATGGTTGGTAAAGGAAGCATTTCTTTTTACATTTTTGCTTATCAGCATTTTCAGATTCTTAAATATAAACATACTTTGATTTTGTATTCAGAAAAACAACCACCAAAAGCAAAGTCAGGTTTTGATTGAGAAAGTAAGAAATCATGAAGAATTGAAATCTTAAATGATACATGTTGTTTCCTATAGCCAAGCTATACATTGGGAAAAGTTTCTATGCAAAGAACAAAAACTAAGCAAAAAAGAGCAATATCAAGATAATGACAAAACTAATGCCTGCTAACAGGAAACATTAAATATAAAAAGTGTTTCTCACTAAGATCACTAATGTGCTTTTAACATAACACCTGAATTAATGGTTTTTCTACTCAAGATAATGACCAGTTAACTTCTAACCACATTTGTTTTCATATTTTAATCCCTCAAATTGCCAACAGAATATTGTCCCAAGATTATAATCAACATGGAGCAATTGTTAGAATTTTAGATTGAATCTTTGATAAATAGAAACATTCATAAAAATAAAAACACTCTTTTCTATCTTAAATTTAGATTATCAATGTTTCCAAAATTATTATCCAAAATATTAGAGTATTTATCCTAATAGTGATTTTATTAAAAAATAATGAGAACAAATTCTCATCTTAACATCTAAAAATTATATAAATCCTAAAATCCATGGGAAGGCAAGCAGCTGATACTCTTTGACTGACTAAAATATCAGAATTGGCCCAGCCATCAAATACCATCAAACTGATATAAATATTGACTACTGAGATGAAAAGCAAAAACGCCAGCTGTCGGCCTTGCAGGCTTGGGCACCAGCGACATGTAACTTCCATGGTCAAATAGTTTGGTGTTTAGATTCAGCTGAGGCAACTTCATTTGTTGTGCTTCCCCAATGTGCAGAGCCCACAAGTAGGTGCTTCAGGGAAACACAGATACAGGAAGGTGAAGAGGCACAGTGACTGCTTCACAAATGCATCATTTTATGCTAATTCCACTGCAAGGATGGGAGCAGAAGCACTGCAAGAGAAGTACCCTAAGGTTGAGTTTGGACCCAAGGAAAAAAGTAGAAAGTGTTTCTACAAGTAGAAAACGTTGTACTAGTTTGGTGTTAAGCACTTATGATGAATATTGAGGGACTCTGTTATACACAGATTATAGACTTGGATTCTGCCTAAATAAGGAGTTTTGCTAGAAAATGTTTTCTAAGTAGTCAAACTCTTACGACTTTGTTTTTCTAAATATTCAATGTTTTATGACTTTAGTTTTCATTCTGCAACCAGACCACTCTCTAAAACACTGCAAAGTACGTTTCTGAAGCTCTCAGTATTCTTCACAGCTGGAATCAGCATACAGCACAGGAAAGACTACAGTTAGAAATTGTGAGTCATAATGCAAGTCTTTCAAGATCTGTGACTTTCAGTTTGCCGACCATTAAAATGTGAATGATAACCAAAAACATCCTATTTATTTAATTTACCAAGTTTCAGAAAAAATCCAGCTAGAACCAAAACTCACATAATATAATCCATTTTAAAACATATTTCTTATTATGAATCATATTCCCAATAACAACTGCTTACTGCCATATAATGAGGAATCACATTTCTCTATGTCAGTGTTTCCACAAAAACTGATGCTCATGTACAAGGACATTTCCTATAAACAATATTAGTTAGTAATGCAGAAAACTTTTTTCTGTTTTTGCATGTGTTTAAATGAAGAGAATTTCACAGATGTAATTTTATAATTACATCATTTTTTACAATGGCAAACTCACAGGAAGACCTTTCATGCAGAGAAATAATTATCTAACTCAATGTTTTCCTGGTGTCAATATCAACCAGGTTACTTATTTGTTACTTAGTTATACCTTCAATTCGTTTCACTAGCATTTTATATTTTATTACTTACAGTCCTGTATCGTTCCGTAGTATGCCTGAGGATTAGAAAGATTAGTGTAAATTGAATTTCATGAATCAATTTAGGTTGTAAGTGCTCTAGTTACCTCATAATTCACTTCATAAATGTATTTCTTAATTCATCTATTTGCAAGCTCAAAAATTGTTATGCTGGTTTTCTTTAAAGGGATGTGCTGGGGCGCAAAGGTGAATTCGGTAAGAAGAATACATCAGTGCTTGGTACTGTCTGGACAATATGTATCTTTAATAGCAGAACTCACATGTGGAAAAGTATGTTGTCAGTATTAACCATTTAGTGGAAAAACAACTTACCATTTTAATTGGAAATGTCAATAATATAGGCTTTCCCAGTAGCTACTGAAATTTCAAATTCAAATGTTACTTTTTGGTGTGAATATCTGTGCAATATTCAGATCTGTTTCTGTGCAAGTAAAGTAGGATCCATTTTTTGCAGATGTCGTACCATAAAAAATTACCTGCTTTCATAGAATGGGTGATCCATTGAAACGTGAAGTTAGTAAAGACTGACAAGTAAGCAATTTCTAAGTTAGGTGCACTACCACTACATGTCTTGCTTTGTTGATATTTTTCATTGTATTTATTATTGATTTCATGTGACATATAATACAGTGAATAAAAATAGACTATTCAGAATAAATAGAAAAAAGTCTTTCAAACAAAACAAGATTCAGTCTACAAGATTCTCAGATTATAGAATATGATGAATGAGTGGCATATTGAATTTAGACAATGCTCATGTTTT